CGTAAACAGAAAGGAACAAGATTGCTACCTTTTTAATTTTTAAAAAACAAAATGTACATATCACACATTTGGCGAATAACCAAAAACAGTGTAACAAGAGTATTAGTTTTTTAAGACTCGCTGAATTGCACAAGAGTTCTAACAAATTTAGGTTAGTGTTGTGATTTTGTGATAATCTCTCAGTGTGTGCAAGTTTTTCATTGCATATCGCACTTTCGGATACCCTCATTTTATAAATCTTTAGCAATACTAGTATGCAATTATGAGCTTAGACATGGTTGTGTATATACATTATACTTCGCCAGAGATCTCTTAAAATCATGTTACTATTTGCTTGCAGTCGTTAAAATCTAGAGGATATGTAAAAGAACAATTCGCATGGAGGCATTATTACTGGTATCTCACGAATGAAGGTATTCAATATCTCAGAGATTTCTTGCACCTACCCCCAGAAATTGTACCAGCCACATTACGTAGACAAACACGACCAGAAGCGTCAAGACCACCAAGACCCAAAGGTAAAAAAAAATTAAGTATTTGGTAAAACCAGTGATTTATTATTTTTTGAAATCAAGTAGGATCATACTTTCCGAGATTATCCGGGATCATTTATTTATTTATTTATGAATTATTACTAAAAGCATTTAATGATTGTGATATGTTGGTTGTGCTACAGATTGTTATATTTTCACTAAGGTAAACAATGAAAAACAAAATAGTCACTGCTCTACATACCTTGTATATTTGTGTAGGTTTTGAACCTAGAGGGCCATCAGATGGTGATAGAGACAGAGAACAGTACAGAAGGGGACCACGTAAGTCAATTCTTTTTTAGTGATTTATTTTATAATAGCAATTTAGAATAGGTTAACGTATAGAAGAACAGTCTCATGATAGTAGCGATTCATAATGCTATGTTGCTGTCTTTGCTATACTAGTGTCACCTGTTCATTCACATGTTGGATTAGGGTATCCTAATATCCAGTTAGGACTGATCATTAGGAATTCAGAGTCAAAATGGAATCCCCCAAAATCAAGATGAGTACAATGAGTACAAGTACAATTGTATGCGACTTGAGGCTCAAACAAAAATGTTGTGATCATTGATTTCCTTTGTTTTTACATTTATTCTGTATATAAAATGTGAATTTTATTTTACCACATTGCTGATAACTTTCAATTCTTTGTTTTCTGTAGCTGGTGGAGGCCCAGACAAAAAGGGTGAAGCTGGTGCTGGAGCAAGCCCACAATTTGAGTTTGTAAGTATTCGTGCAAACGCAGACATGCCCTACTTGGAAATGTCTTAGTATTCAGTAAAATTTCAATTGTAAACAGTGCTATGCTCTGAAAATACTAGTAGCGATGGTTATTTACATTTTCATGACAGATTCAAAAAGAATCTTGAAAATAATTGCGAGATGTGTAATTCTAAATCTGTTTTTATTTTTTTATTTTTTTTCAGAGAGGTGGTTTTGGTCGGGGCAGAGCAAGCAGCAATGCTCCACAGTAAAAATATCATGCTGGTGTTTCTGTTAATACAGTATTTCAATTCATAAAATAAATATAGCGTAACAATTACACCAGCTTATATCAAGATCTCTTGTCGTTTTTTCACTCAGCATGACAGGTTGCATTAATGGTCTTTTCAACTAACATTGTGTATAGGGTAAAGGGTAAAGGCAAGGTATGAGGACTCTTCTGGGACATATAAAGTCCAATGCAACATGTAAGTCTGCATGCAGAGATGTTGTGGAGGACTTTATAGCCTGGAAGGTTCAAGTACCGTAAAACCTGTATTAGAAGCCGCAACCCTAATAGAAGTCGCACATATTCTTTTTAAGCAATTGAGAACCAAAATTTTATAATTTCTCGTACATGTATGTGTAGATGCTTTATTAGAAGCCGCATCTGTTGCATTGTACCATTTTAATAGAAGTCGCAGCTTACAGATTTTACAGTATGAAGGTTTTATCTTACTTGAAATCCCACCCCAAAAAAATGGAAAAATGTCTTGCTAGTAGGAAGACGTTTGGCGAATCCTGTCAATCCTGCCTGAATTAACCCTCATTTTCAAGTAGAATATGCATTATATGTGCACATAAATGTTTCAAAATTTGTAGTTACTGTTAAAATTTGCTGCAGAATCCTAAGATGATGATGAATCCCAAAATTCAGTTGGTTTTCTGAAGTCTGATTTCAAACCCACATACACCTGTATGGTAATTTCCCTTGGTAAATAAGCAATTGTGTGCTTGGGAGTGAGTTTAGTGTAGGACATTTAGTGAGCAGTTATTGATTTACAGGATAAACTAAGTTTGGGTTAGAATTCAAATTTATTCAGTCGATGACCACAAGTTTGAATTTTTGACTTGTACCATGACTAATGCAATAAAATGCCAGAAGCTGCCTCAGTGCACGTGAATGAAGGTTAATTTACCCAAATACAAATCCCTGAATGCTTTATTTGTTTATGAACAATTCATATCATGTGACTTGAAATAGCTTGGTGGTTCTCTTTCCAACTAAAGCTGAGTGATATCCCTTGATACAAGGTCTGATTTACAATCGCAGTATACAACTTGTGTAGTTATTTGTAGTGAATTCATAGACCTGCTAAGTGGGGACTTCAAACCAGAGCCGAATCACTCCAGTGATTATGCTCGTTAAAAGTTGTTGACTAGCATTGACAACAAATCAGAGTGCAGCTGTATATGTTGTATCTTATCTATGTTAATGTATGTGACCGTTCACTTCTGAGGTCCCAGCGATTTTGAAAGATTATCGGTACTTGTATACATTGGACATTTAAATCAACTTTTTTCAGTAAACATGGATGAAAGTATCGCTTTTGCACTTAGAAAGTTAAAGTAGCCATCTCTGCGATTGAATCAAATCAACCTTTAAAAGGTCATGTTACTGATTTTCATAAATGCAAGTTCAATTTCACTTTGTGCGACATATTCATCAATAGACAAAATTGAAGGCAGAATCCCATACAACTTTCTGCCAATCTTGATTCGCAAATGTGCTGGTTACATGTATTGTATTTGAGTTAATAAAAATACCGGGCACAAATGTAGTTAATTTTGTTAGAAGCTGGTGGAATCACAGGTGCTCGTTAGACCTGGGATGGCCGGTTTTCTGCCAAAATATAAGAAAATCATTCCTATTTGCAAATTGATTGTACCGGTACTAAGAGAACCATTGAGATATTTAAGAGCCACTTTAATCATTATAAAATGAAAATCTATATTTTACCACTATTTACAGATCTAGAGTACTGAAGGTCGGACACTTCGCTGCCAATATCCCGAACATTGCTCAAAAGCTAACGCGTGACAGCTGCTGCGATAACAACGAACCACGAATATCACAAAATACTAGATGTAGTCCAAATCTCTTGAAAAATTAACTTGAGATGTAAAAAAAATTACGAGAGTACCGATATCTCTATACAAGCAGCTGTTTTTGATAGCGCCCTCACATGTTTAATATTTCTTGTTTTTTATAAAGTGATCTTTCAGATTTTGTCTCTATTACAGTTAACTTTCACAGTGCCCTTTGTTTACAAGTATAGTGTCCTCACATGTTCTTCAAAATGCCCATATCAAAATCTAGTGTTTCCATAGTCATGTTTCTCAGACATCTTGTTTCTTGTTCAATTTTATTGATATCTGGTAAAAGTATTGATCGACCTACATGCAATTAAATTCACTTATTATGCAAAGCCTATACCTTTATAATACTTGCTCTGATCACTGGGGAGCTATTTACAGTTTAACTTCGATTTACGTAGCAACACCCTAGATTTGAACCAATGATTTTTAGATCGATGAGCTGTGTGAATGCATGGGCATTTTAGTCAATCATGGTTTAGGCAAGTGGTTTGTGATTGAAATCAATATGTAGTCTACTATATGTACATAAATAAGGTGCATTTTCTATACAGGTCATTGACTCTCTATACAAAAGGAGTTTCATATAACGTGTTCATTGTGACAACACACAACCTGCAATGGAACTGCCAAGAAAATCCTAAAATTCGTAGTATTTTTTCGATAAAGAACGGCATCTCGTAGTATAGTTAATCGCACAAGTTTTGGGTGCATTTAAATGCCATAGTTTTTGGTCAGCATTTCTGGAAACTTGCACAATCGAATGAGCGGATGAAAAACAAAATTAAACGATTCAGAAAGCAGTTACCTTGTCCCGTGCATGGAGCTAAACAGTTTACACGTCGTTCACATTTATCAGGAAGGATACAATCGTATAGCGATTTACAATACTAATTTTTGGAATACAGATTTGTGTCTGTTTATTTTAATTGGCTGTGTGAAGCATATAAGTACCAATGACGCATGGCTGGTTAACCAACCCTAATGTTGAGTATGTAATGTTACTGAACATTGTATACATCACTGTTAACATGTGAACTGTCCTGCCAATATAACCGAGCAACATTCATACAAAACAAACAACGTGGCATGTCTATCGTAATCATAATTATTTCACATCGCTGGTGTGTTTTTGTACGAGTTACTGTGTGAACGATAATGCTGAAAGTATGTTTTCGCAACTCCAGTGTTCATCACGGGGCCTGAAAATGACGAGTATGGACAAAATGTTCTTTTCCGAATGCCTTTTTTTTTCTTTTTACGTAAATGTAATTTCAATAAAATTTGCCATAATTATTTTGTCAATTTAAGACTTGCACTGTAATGGACGGAAGTGGTTTATAGTTACCAATGCACATCTTCATTATTCGCACAACAAAAATAATTTTTGAGTTGAATGGATGAAAATGTAGGGTAAATCACAGTACCTCAATCAAGCTGTTTTATATACATTAAAATGTGTACAGAATAAATAGTTAAACGTCATATCATAAAGAACGGAGAACTTTCTAGATTTCCAGTTTGGAAATAAGTGACCTCGAACCCGGGTCCCATCCTTAAAGTAACATAAATACTTTTGATACGTAGCGCTACTAGACCATCATCATGTGCTTTACGGTATCGAAAACGCAATGGAACGTTTCATTTCAAGGCCATCTCACAATTTCTCGCGAGCTTTGGAAAATCCTTCCTTCCGTCGAATAATTTTCTAGTTCCAAGTAACTTTTTCGAACCGCGCAGGTCAAACGTTCTGTGAATGTTTTAGTGACTGGTTTACGGCGCAGTTTTGGATTGATGCATTGAGTGTAGAGCTTACTCTACTAAAGCAAGACAATACTACAAATATGACAGAGAATCGTCAGCCAGAGAAGTCATTTTGGGACATAAACCAGTACCGAAAGACCATCAAACGAATTGAAAACGGTCACAAGTGAGTACGCGTAACGTGTTTGTGTGGTTAGTAGACATTGGTAGCACCAAAGGTAGTCCACTTCTGGTAGTACTAATCTCTGTAATATTGAAAATTTACTTTTTCTATTCGAAGACAGCCTAGAGTGAATCTTATTGAAGGTATTTATAGAGATGAGATTAGTAGAGATGAGATGTGACTTTATGAAAGCGGGTTTATTTATACTAAAGATAATATTTGGTAATCGTAATATTTGGTAACTATTTTTAATAGTTATTTAGGACTACGATTACCAAATATTATCTTCAATATATCATACTTATCAGTCCGAGCAGCGTTTATTTATTTATAACCTTTATTATTTATACTAGTATCCTGTCCACATTTGCAGTGGTCGTTTAGTTATACATGAGTTCACGATTGGTACATTATTCTATGTATGTTTTACGTTAATATGTAGTTCTTCGATTTAAACATGAATTTGAACATAAATAGTAGAAACACTAATAACAGTAAAATGTTTATCTAAAGACAGTACATATTGTTCCTGGTTTTATTCGCTTTTCTTAAAAAACATATGTGTAAAAATAACGGTCGTGGCATCTAGCTAAACTAAATGATATTATCGGATTCATATTCTGAAATATATCATTGCATGTGACACCAAGTGGAAGAGCGTATATCGAATATAGGCATGAATATCCTCCGTTCTGTGACTGTGCAAATTAAAACCAACTTAACTGTAAACCAAAATACTAGTATACCGATTCACATCATACCCACGGTGCTCATTGTGACACAAAATACGAGTACTGCGTGTTCTTTCTGTGGCTTCTCATGTTTATGTTCGCGGTGAAACTGGAGTAGTTCTTTGATCCACGTAACATGTAACTGAACCTGGAATGGCCCCCTGTACTTATTCGATCGAGTTCTTGTACAGTTACGCGGGGAGTGACTTCCTTCCCTCTGGTGTTGTACGATAACAACTAGATCGATAGCATTAGTATAGAGTGACCTCACTAGTTTCCGTTGTAACACGTGATTCACCGGGTACATTGACCCGCAAAAGGTTCACTGCTGACCACTAGGTGAGCTAGATTTCAATGTGAAGTAATTATCATACTAAATAAATTATTGTCGGATTCGATTAAATATATTTTCTTTTATAATCGACTTTGCAGATCATGTGATGACTTCGTTGCCATGATTCAAGAACGAGCCGATCTAGAAATGCGTTACACTAAGAGTCTCAGACGATGGGCGGAAAAGTGGGAGGAGGCAGTCACCAAAGGTATCCTCGTGGTCATACAGTCTTTTTAGCACCTCATCATTTGTGCAGAGAGTGGTCTTTTGCTCTAGGACTTTTTTGATATGGTGGCGTGGGGGGTCATTAAACTATTTGATGAAATACGAGCTACCACGACGTTTTGAGAGGGCGGTATGATGTTATCGTTATACAACACTTTGTGCTGAAGAGATTCAAAGTTTGAAATTGTCTATTCAAACTGTTACCACTAGCCCAGGATACACTAAAAACAATCGTATTGTATTTACAATGTGTGTACGATGATCACACCAACATTCAAACAATAGATACTGTATACTGTGATATATAGTAGATAATATTTGGTAATCGTAGTCCTAAATAACTATTAAAAATAGATAGACGTTTCGAGCAATGGCTCTTTATCGATAGCATAGAAGAAAATATACTAGTAAATAAGATCCAAATAACATACACTTAACGTAACCTGAACTTTTAATAAATTTTCGTAAAATAAAGTTTGCCCGAGCATAAATACTACTCAGCTGCCCCTCCATGTCAGCTTTATTCCATCGATCCCGATGTCATCTGATGACACAATATATACCAGGTGCTTTTTCAATATTTCAGAAAAAAAAAAACCACGAATGACTAGACTTTAATCGACGTATCTTATAGGTTCTTGAATTATCCTTTTTCAACTTCCAGGGCCGGAATATGGTACAACTTTGTTGGCATGGAAACACACTTTACAAGAAGCCGTACAGATAGCAAAAGTACACGAGGAATGTCGGTGCGTGTTAACCGCGCCTGACGGCCCGTTGCAAAATGTGCAAAGGTATTCACCCTATTTTGGTATATACAAGTTTAGACTGTGGCGTTTACTATGCTCGATAAATGTACGTGCATTTGTTATGTATGTATGTGTGTATTCCTTTCACGAGTGCAAAACCACCGATGGTATCACACTATGTATTAGCAATTATAAGTAGATCAACTGTTTTTGTTCAGTCATATTGCTGTAAGGCTAAATGTTTGTTATAATTGTTTCTTATAATTCTCCTCAGGTGGAAGAAGGAAAATTATCATAAATTAACATTTGGTGGTTACCAGGAGATACGCGATGCAGAAGAAGGGTTTGCCGTTGCACAGAAGGACTATTCAAAACAGCTGAATAAAACGAAAAAAGTAAAAAAGGTGAGATATATAGATCACATTTAATATTTTAGAACCCTGTGGCAAATGAAGACATATTTTAATTGAAATACTAATACCATAACAATAACCCAGTACAGTAGAAGAACAGTCGTAAATTCTGCAAATCAAGTTCTTATGGCACGCTTTCGTGACGTTACAAATAGAAACGTCGTCTAAATCTGCCTATGTGTTTTTCTGTAGTCGTTCGTCATTTAGTTTATAGAAAAAAATCTTCTAAAAACATAATCTTTGATGAACGACGACAGATTATCGACGATTCGATTTAATGCGTCATAGAAGCGCTTTGCCACTAGGGGCATGAGTTGAATGGGTTGAAAACAATCAATCAATAAGTGTTATTCGTTATTAAGAGTATTGACTATTAACTTATATTAGGCTAGATTAATACCTGTGGTTTTGATCACATGACTTTGCCCATCAGAATTACCACAGTGCATGCAGTGCTTCCTTTAAAGCCGACGAAGAACTCGCTAGTCAGACACACAGTACTACGATCCATCCAGACAATCTCAAAAAATTGCAACAACGAGCCGAGAAGATGTTGAACGTCAAGGAAAAATATAGAGAACTTTACCTTCGTCGACTACTGGAATGTCACGGAGAACTCAAACAGAGATATATAGAAGTAAGAAAATGAACATAGTGCTTTTCTTGTCTCAAAGAATATTGATTGCTTTGCACTATCAGTCGCTTCCTTAATGTTTGTGTTTCCATGACAGATCGTCTTACGTCAGACAAATTCAAGTTGCTGTGTTGCGCCCTCGCTTCGCCTAGATCATGTGTGTATGTGCGTATGGGGGAGAGGTAGCTTAATGATCTCTATAAACATGTGTTGAACCAATCTTTTTCTTGTTTTTGTATTAGGATATGACAGAACAGTTCGAAAAGTGTCAATCCTTCGAAAAGAAGAGATTGGACCATTTAAAGGAGCAGTTATTGTTATTTTTGAAGTCAGTTGATTTGTCGGAGGTTTCCGGGTACGTAATGCCCTACAAGCGCATTATACATCATTCTGTTTTTTGTTTCTTTTTATTACATTTTATCCGTCTTTATCCATCTCCATTCTCTACGGGGGAGTGTGATTGTCGTACCCGTATTTCCAATAACGTGCGGTGGTAATCCTGACATCTCTGGCTGACCCTTTTTTGATTGGGCGGTCAGAGACAGCACGAGTGCCGGTGCGGCGAACGACTCTTTAGTGACCATTAGAAGAACTCGGAAAGATTACGTGTTTTGACAACTCTCATCTGACAACTAGTCACACACACATAGCTTAATATTTGTCTTCTTCTACTTTAAATTCTTTAATTTTAGTTTCGCGAATATTTACAATCAAACGTTCAGAGACGTAGAAAAGGCGGATGCTATAACTGACCTTTCTGAATGGAGGGTGAAATACGGTACCGGAATGACTCAGAATTGGCCTGTATTTGAGGTAATTATGTAACAATCCCTGTTTAAAACACGTTGTCTGGGTGTGGTTACAAGACTCAAACTTACTCGTACTGTTGTTTTTAATTGTTCAGGACTTCGATGCCAACACAGACGCCAGGCGGTTTAGTGTCGCCCCTCGGAAGAATTGCACAGCTGATGATGGCAATGATAACGGGTAAGTGCAAGAGGACGGGTTTACAACCCGGACGAATTAACTTATTTTAGCAACTCTGAAGAGTGGCTCGTATCATTTTGAAATATGCTAATATCATGTGTGTACTTTTTTAAAGGGACGATTTCGATTCCGATGATTTTGAAAATGAAGAAGATGAGGGCGATATCATGGCGGATGATGATGTGACTGCTACTACTAGTTATGCGAACGACCATCCATACGATACCACGGGTAGGTTTTCAGTGTGTATGCCCATATTCCATTGTGACAATACAGGGGATTGGTAGTACGCTAGATTCGACAACCAATGACTATTAACGAAACAAATACGTTTCGATTACGCGCTGGCAGTTCCAGGAAAAAAACGTGAAAAAACTATAGTTTGTGGCGGATCCAGTAATTATCAACAAATTATATCGAGAATAATTTTCAGTGACGTCATATGATTTAACGGTTGTTTTGTTCACAGATTCTCACTCATTGTACGACAACGTTACCCCTAGAAGCAACATTGCGGAAGAACAGACAGAGACGACTCCGTACGACGAGACACAACCCACGCCCTCTACGACAGAAAACAAAGAATACACTGAATTGTCTGTACGAGCCCTGTATGACTTTGAGCCTGCGTCAGGGGATGAACTCCAGCTACAAGCAGGTACAGATTATTTAATATCCCGATAGACAGGAAATAACCTTACCGTGATACCTTAGTGTATGTCCTTTTATGTCTACTGTTAAAGCGCGGTGGTCGTCGCGCAGCGCTTGATCGAATTTCATGTAAATAAAACAAAGTGTTTTACACGCGTTGTAAACGTCGCTATGAGTCCCATATTATACAGGACGCGGCGCGACGACCACAGCCCTTTAACATTACAGAGGGGAAATAATCTTAATTAAAATTTATTGGAAATGGGAACATGGGACTTTCGTTACATTTCTTTAAATAAATGTTTAGACGCCAGGCAAAAACGAAAAATGGAAAGCTCAGTAACTTCTAATCTTCTTTCACAGGTGATATTTTCAGCCAGATTGGTGCTGCACACGAGGACGGGTGGGCATACGGCAGACTGAGAGACGCATTTGGACTATTTCCAGCAAGCTATGTAGAACCACTCTGACGCACTTTTTATTGCATTCTTTTTAGCACATCGTTTATTTCAAATTTTCTCAGGAATTATCAAACTTCGCGATCGACCTAACAGCATGAGCCCCTACGTTTGTATCTGTCACCTATAATTTAGATGCGGTAATTCTGTCAAATTTTCAAAGGAGCTAGTCGTGGATAAACCATTTAGGAGCGTTATAAACTTTCCCCCAAATTTCAAAAAAATTTCAATTGATGTAACAATGTTCACGTGATTGTTACAACTCTGTCGTGTTTAAATATATTTTGAAAAAATGGGTCACATGGTATCATGGTCAAGGTGAAAGACTCTTCGCTCTTATCGTTCAGAACTCAACTAAAAATATTAGATGGTAGAGTTCTTGTCCGTTTTGTAATGTATAGAGTACTCATTTAACCACGTTAAATGGTGGTGGTCATCGCGCTGCGCACGTGCAACATTTGTGTTGATAAATATTGATTTTCCCACAATCCAATGCGCTCTTCAAGTCCTAATGGAAATCATAGGTAATAGGTTTGACCTGGGCGCGCACTAATTACCGCCGGTGACTTCTTCGATACCTTCCAATCACCTAAAAATACCTAATTAAAGCTTGTTAACGTCTCAGTTTGTACTCGTTGACCTGCGCAACAGTCAAAGTCGCCATCTTTGTTTATATGAGACCCATATATCTCGCGCATGCGTGGCGCGACGACTACCGCCCTTTGAGTTCACTTTATTTCATCATGAGAAGAGATGTTGGCAAAAATTAATCGCTTTTGAGGTTTTCAATATGTCGCATTAAAAATAACTAAATAAACTATGAGCATTTCAAAATATTATAAGACTCGGAGTTGATAAACTATTATTTCCAGAAATCGTGTCTCTTGGTCATATGGAAATATCTATTTTTTCCAGATAAAATTGGTCAAAATTCGTTATTTTATATCCTTGTACGCTATTAATTAAAATAGAATACAGAAAAGAATCAATGTGGTGTCATTTTTATTATGTTGATGTAACTAGGGGTTGACCATTAGCAACTGGGGGGAAATGGACAATTCGAGTAACTTGAAAAAAAAATCTACAAACAAGAAGACAACAGCAATTTCCCCCTGTAAGAAATGAATTGCACAATTTGTCTACCATCACCCTCTCATGATTTTTACTCTGAATGTGTGTGTGTGTGGAAGTCGCCGCGTTGCCAACTTTTCAATAACGTAGATTTTGATTGGTCATCTTGCTCCCTGAACTTTATTAATCAGATTAGATGCTTGTCAGCTTTAGGATTCCGTTGAATAGACTACTAGTGTCGAAAGTGAAACATGTGTGAATGCATTTATTCCCAATGTGCAGTATAGCGAAGTATTTAAATAAACCACGGATACCACCTATGAAATATACAGCCAATGAGAGAGGGCGTTCTATAGCCATGAATGCTAATTTCACAAGGCCGCGACCCACCCTGAACTGCCGCCATATTGAATCCACTCAAGTTCCGGTATCAACACGACGCACGAAGACGCCAGAATTCAGTGAAAACTGTGAAATTACGCAAAGATTTGGTGAGTACTTAGAATAGATTCAATCGATATACTACGAACTACCCAATTTGAGAAGTGTGTTTAGTTATTTTTTTTCTGTGGAACAAATACCAGTAGAATGGTTATCGACCGTTCGTTCGTGAAATGTTCATAGAATATTACTCCTTTTGAAATCTTTGTCCCGAGTTCCCCCTTCCTCGTCGAGGAACTGGCGGATGTCTATATAGGGCGATCAATCATTTGCAGGAAGTAGCTGCGTTCCGAGTAACGTCGCTATGTTCATGGTGGTTTACGTTATTCCGATGGCACCGGCGTCATAAGTTCTAAGTGAAGGGGTGTTGCCCCATCCCGTCCGTTATCGCTGACAAGAACCCGTATTCATTGTCGCGAATGAGCAACTGTGACCCCAGCTGACCTCTGTTCAAAATACTGATTAGTACTAAAACATAACAACTAGGACAGTGTACTTTATTCATTTAAAAGTTTTTGTTTCACAAATTTACAATTTGTCTAAGTACAGTCTGAGCAATTCTTCAAAGTTTCCTTGGCTCTTCATATATTTTTTGTTTCGATGAATTCGATGTGTTGTTCATAATTAAAATTTTGATTATTTTGGACTTGATTGTCATTGTAAAATTTCTTGATTTAAATATTCAATATTTTGGATTTGATAATGATTATAAAGCATGCTAATATGTTTCTATGGTTACATGTACACTGTACGACTGAATGTGTGAATATTAATGTAATTAATTGATGAGGTGAAATTAATTTAAGTTGCTACTTGGGTTTCTTGTGTTCTTGCAGAACAACTTTGAATTCATGGTATGGCATAGGTGTGATATTACTGATAACTTGTGTTCATTATTGTTATTGCAAGTAGAATTTTATCTAATCTGTATTGAATCAATTCAAATGGTCATTTATATTTATAGCAGAGGTCACTATTTTATTGTCATAAAGTAACAGAATATATATAAAAATATATATTAATCATTAATGTTCACTTTGAACATGATTGGTGGTCTCAAAACTAGAAATTGATTACTGTAAATGCATTAAATATTCACACTCTTTTAATTTCACTATTTTCACTCATAAATAAAATCTGCTAAATTAAATTCATATGACCATGTGAAACAATAATAGAACTTTGTGAACTTAAAACCCAGTGAATATGTTCAAAACTTCAAAATAGTGAAATTATATGTCAGTGAAAATAAATGGTTTTGCAATAGTTGTTGCTTGTATTAGTTAATTTGGGATGATGTACATATGGCAATTTTATATTTTTCTGCATTATTCAGCATTATAATTATGTCCACTATATATCATCTACTTTTTTTTTTTTTTAGTTCTGCAGTTAAATAACTTGGCCCAGTGGGTATGAAAATAAGTTGACCTATATTTTAAGACCCACATACATATACATTTGCAATCCAAAGTCTGTGACCAAACCTCTCAGTAATGACTGACCTGACCTTATGTGTATTATTATGTATAGAAATATAAATACGTATATGTAAGATTGCTATTTTCATCATGTGCAGTAAATTAAAAAAAGCTACTCTTCCTACTTTCAGCCAGTACCGGTATAATTAATGTTCAGTTTGAATGGAAATTTATTCTTGATCAAAGGTTGTGGACATCTCCTTGAGAACATTTAAAGAATTATAACGATGATCAAATTAACGATAGAGTAGTACTTGAGTGGTTTGTCAATTTAGGAAAGCTTTTCCCGGAATTGTTTTTCAACTCCATTTTAGGATTACATATATGACAAATTTGATCTGATTTGAGAAGAGACATATATTGTATGCTGATCTTTAAATGTGTATTTATTTATTCATATGCCCAATTAATTAAAAAAAAGACTTCATAATTTCTAAAATTGGTGTTTGTGTGATGATGATAATAGTATTAAAACAGCAGGTCAAAGGATTCTACTTTTCCCATGAAAAGTCCATATGCAACTTACACTTGTTAATACACTGTCTTTCTGGATGACTAGAGATGCATAGCTCTCGAGAGAATGACAGGAAAAAGAACCACTCAATACCTTGTTTTGAATAACAATGGTAGAAACTTGCTAGGTATGTCATTATTTAACATAACCTTGTATCAGTGAGTCAACAACTCTGTGATCTGATTTAAACTTTACCCTGCCTTCCTCAAGGTCATTTCTGAATTGGAATCTCAGATAATAAAATAAAATCCCAAAACTTTTAGGGTTTCCTCCGTTTTGATACCTTATCTATGGTTTATCTGTGTGGGTCAAGTCAATCTACCTAGCACTGAATTCTTATTTGTCCTCCTCCTACTAGAGTAGTCTTTCTTTTGAATTTGTGGAATGCTGACTCTAGATGTGGGTCATTTACAGTACATTTAAGAATTAAAGAAACAATTCATATTTTTTCCATTCTTTTAGTGTTCATCATAAAAAAATATAATATTTTGGTCATCTTGTGACATTCAAATAAAAAAAAAACATTGCTGTTTGATTTACTGCATCACTGCTTTCAACACAGGTTTTAGTCATAAGTAAACAATTCATTACTTTCATGCATTATGATGCAATATTATGGCACATCATACTTGGTTTTGAATTTTAAATATGATTCATTATCAAAATAGAGCAGTACCTATAATCATATACCATAATATCATACCATTTGTGATATAATTTAGTTCTTTTCATTTGATTTGTTCTGGCTACGAAAAAAAATTAACCGGATCTTGCTAGTTTACATCTGCACAATTATTTGTTTGGTTTTATTATAATTAATTATATTGATATTATGATATTAGTTATTTTATCCCAACAAAATTAATGTATTAGTTGCATGAATTCTATCTGAACAGAATCAGGAAAACTGATCAATTTACATAGGTGTTCAGTTTCTAAGCTCATTGTCCATGGAAGGAACTTTGTTTGTTGTCATCAGTTTCATTAATAATTTTTCTTATGGGTGCTATAGCCCACGTTTTTTTAGATACATTGTATTATCAATCAAATGTGGCGTACAAATCTATATTGATTTGATATAGGAATAAGTATACATTTGATCATAACCTAGTAGGAACCCCTGTACTAGGAAGTTTGGTACTTTATATATGGCAGCAGACTGTATTAACTATCAGAGTCATCTGTTCATTTATATCAGTAAATAATGCTATTAAATGAATATATAAATAATATAGAACATGCTATTGACAAAATAATTCCCTGCAACTGTAGTATAGTTGTATAAATAATTGTACATGTAATTGTATATTTTAAATATAGTTTAATTATAACTGTAGAATAATTTAACTGTGCAATTGTAAATGTTGTATAATTGTAACTGTAGTAATTAAACTATAATGTAATTGTACTATAACTATAAATATTCATAAACATTCAGTTCTATTTGTGAGTTGCACCTATGTTTATTAAAAGACTGAGATCATAAATTC